AACAACAACCTAGCAACCACCTAGAACACCCTAGCAACCACTAACAACAACCTAGCAACCAATTTGAACACCCTAGCAACTGCAAAACAGTATGTTAAAAAAAACAAGCAGAACACATTAGCAACTAGGGCTGGGTGATTTTTTATTTTATTTTATTGATTAATGCAAATGTAATGTTTAGCAAATATTAGCAAACATTACAATTAGACTTGTTGACAACACATGCTAACAATTAAAAAAACAAATCCTGGTTCTGCAAAGAGAAAAAAACAGTTGTTGAAGGAGTGAATCAAAATAAGAAATGTCTAGACTTTTAGCTTTCTTTAACAGGGTATCTGCAGAATTTTTTTAATCAAATCTAAGGCTTTTTAAGACCTTTTTTAGACTTGCAATGTCTGTGGTGATATATTAAAACTTAAAATGACTGTAAAAATATGATTTAGAGTTCAAAAACAGGTTTTCACAACAAAAAAAGTTTTATAAAATGATAAATGTCACATTTCAGCCTTTAAACTGTTTTTTTAAGTAAAAGAATGAGTCAAAATATCAATTATTATATTAAATGAAAACATATAAATATCTTACTATCTTACTGTCTGAATTGTTTAGATTTTTAGAAGGAATATTAGCTTCTTATCAATCCACCGGTTCACATTTACAACTGCGTGTTTGCTGTGTAAAAATATTGATCGATTATTTCTGCATTGGTCTAAACAAAAACAGCAGACGGGCTAATTGAAAATATAAATTCATTCTCTGTTCAATCATTCTCCAAATTTAAGACCTCTTGAAATTAGAATTCAGATTTTTCTCATATCATTTAAGACTTTTTTTGGCCTTAAATTTGATACAACTAAATTTAAGACTTTAAGACTTCTTAAGGACCGGCGGAAACCCTGTTTAATGCTGCTTTTGTCTTATTTTAAATCATTTTAAGTCATATTGAGGCCCTCTAAAACCACTGAGTTTGACAACTGAAATAGTTGATGAAACAATAAAATATTAGTCTGTAAAAAAAACCTGCATAGTAGTCTCAGTCAGTGAATGGCTGTCCAAAAGAATATAACAAGTAAACAGTGGAAAATGTGTGCAGAGTTTATCATAATGAGTTCTGGATCTGTGATGTAGATGATGTGGCGTTTCTTACCCATGTAAGGCTTTGTACCCGCTAACGCCGTGGCTCGTTCGCCGTCCTTGATTATGGTAGCGATGTTAAAGTCTGTTAAATGCTGACATCACGTCAGTTCACATGACATCAACAGCTCGACTTTATTTACACGTCACGTCCTCTCTGACTGCAGGCGGCGCTGACTGCATCTCGCAGCTGTGTGTGAGATCGTCATGTTTTGAAAGCTTCGGTGGCCTTCTTTTGTGTGAATGTTCAGTTCTCAGGGGGCCGTCACATTTTCGACACACTCACTAATTACAACAAGTGCGCGCACACACACACACACACACACACACACACACACAATTTAAGAACAAAGCCCCATCCAGCTAATGCCGCATTCTGATTCCCTCACAGCTAATTAACAGCGAGCCGCTCCCCTGCTGTCATGATGATGCTGAGAGCATGATGGGATTAATTCACACAGAGCTGTGACACACACACACACACACACACACACACACACACACACACACTCACAGATTAACAGCGAGCCGCTCCCCTGCTGTCATGATGATGCTGAGAGCATGATGGGATTAATTCACACAGAGCTGTGACACACACACACACACACACACACACACACACACACACACACTCACAGAAGTAACATGATTACAACACATCACATTCTTCAAGACAATCTACAGCATCCTTAAAGAGGAAACTCCATCATACAGAGACACTTTCAGACTCTATGGCTGATTTGAATCTCTCTGAATCAGTCGTGAGGGCTGTGCATCAATGCCAGTTTGTCAGGGTGCTGCTATGCTGTTGCTAAGGTGGTCTGAGTGTTTTTAAGCAGGTAACCAAGGTGTGGTTTTGAATGCAGTGCTATGAAATTGTAACTTGTTGTGCGACTGCATAAGTTCTGTGTTTGAAATGTTACTAGGGTGTTTCTTGGCTGTTCTGTTTGTTGTTAGGCTGTTGCTATGGTGTTCTGAGTGTATTGATTAGCAGGATGGTTTCTAAGGTATTGCAAGTGGTTTTGAGCACATTGCTATTAATTTGGACTTGTTGTGTTCATGTGCTTGAAATGCTTTTAGAGTGTTGCTAGGGTGTTTCTATCTATGGCTGATTTGAATCTCTCTGAATCAGTCGTGAGTGCTGTGCATCAATGCCAGTTTGTCAGGGTGCTGCTATGCTGTTGCTAAGGTGGTCTGAGTGTTTTTAAGCAGGTAACCAAGGTGTGGTTTTGAATGCAGTGCTATGAAATTGTAACTTGTTGTGCGACTGCATAAGTTCTGTGTTTGAAATGTTACTAGGGTGTTTCTTGGCTGTTCTGTTTGTTGTTAGGCTGTTGCTATGGTGTTCTGAGTGTATTGATTAGCAGGATGGTTTCTAAGGTATTGCAAGTGGTTTTGAGCACATTGCTATTAATTTGGACTTGTTGTGTTCTTTTAGAGTGTTGCTAGGGTGTTTCTAGGCAGTTGTTAGGCCGTTGCTATGGTGTTCTGGGTAATTGCTAGGGTGTTGTTGTGCAGTTGCTCATGTGTTTGAAATGATTTTAGAGTGTTGCTAGGGTGTTTCTAGTGAATTCTGTTGGTTGCTAGGCTGTTGCAATGGTGTTTCAGGGTATTGCCAGGGTGTTGTTGTGCAGCTGCAAATGTGCCTGAAATGTTTTAGAGTGTTGCTAGGGTGTTTCTAGGCTGTTCTGTTCGTTGCTAGACTGTTGCTATGGTGTTCTGAGTGTTTTTTTTAGCAGGTTGGTTTCTAAGGTGTTCCAAGTGGTTTTGAGCGCATTGCTATTAAGTTGGACTTGTTGTGCAGTTGTTCATGTGCTTGAAATGCTTTTAGAGTGTTGCTAGGGTGTTTCTAGGGAATTCTGTTGGTTGCTAGGCTGTTTCTGCTTTTAGTGTGTTGCTGTGGGATTGCTAGGTTATTCTGTGTCATTGCTAGGGTGTTTGTGTGGTGTTATGGATGGCTGCTAGGGGGTTCGCCAAAAGGGTTCATCCCTACATCTTAAACAAACCAACAGCACCCCTAAAGACTCCGGATTTGAGGAATCCCTGATATCTTGAGCACAAACACCAGTATCCCTGCAGCATGAGCTCTGAACTATCAGATGTTTCCAGATGCTCCGCTCACCCTCCTGATTTCAGGAATCCTCCACTCGAACTAATTTTACCTCAGTGGCAGCGTGACACGACACACTGTTGCTAGGAAACACTTCTGCCCAACTTAGCGCAACTAAATAATACTATAGACAGGAAACACTCCTTCAGAAACATACAGCTAAATCCACCGCAGAGAAAACAATGTGACTGCCTAATACACACAAGAGAGATTCAGTCCACTGCGTTCACTGTCAGTTCTGTTCTAGTGCGTTTGTGACGGGGCCCAAAACAAGACAGCCACACATTTTATTTGGCACAGGATTCTCGTCTCCCTGAGGAGCCCTGCAGAACTAAACTCGCAATTACACAACAAATCCCTGCGAGCAGAGAGTACACACACTCACTCACTCACACACACACACACACACACACACACACACACACACACACACACACACACACACACACTCACACTCTCACACACTCACACACTCACAC